TTTCATTTTTACTCTTCTGGAGGTAATTTTCATTTTCTGACCCTTTGAGCTATTGTGAAGTGGCTGTGATACTTGTTGACACTACAAATACCTCTGTTTTAGTCATCTATCTTCCAGGTAGAGAAGGGCTGATCTAGTCATTCATCTTTTGCCTAATTTTCTGTATCTTCTATCTTGCCTTTATTTTCCTTTCCTGGAGCTAGTTAACTAGCTAGCTAGCTCTAGTGCTCCCTTAGTCTCTGTCTCTCTTAGATTACAATTTATTGAGATATAACTCACATACCATATATTTCACCTATTTAAAGCATATGTGCCATAGTTTAAGTCTATTCATAGAGTTGTGCAACCATCACTACAGTAATTTTAGAATAATTCATCACTTTAAAAAGAAGCTTATCAATTTGCTGTCACTCCACATTTGCCTCAAACCTCAGCCGCTGACAACAACTAGTCTACTTTCTGTCTCTATAGATTTGCCTATTCTAGTCATTTCATATAATGGAGTCATACAATACGTTACCTTTTGTGTCTGGCTTCTTTCACTGGCCTTAGTGTTTTCAAAGTTCATCCAATTTATAGCATATATCAGTAGTTCATTCCTGTATTAGTCTACTCACCATAATAGAATACCACAGACTAAGCAGCTTAGAAACTTATTTTCTTACAGTTCTGGAGGCTAAAAGTCCAAGACCCAGCTGCCAGCATGTTTGGTTTCTGGAGAGGCCTTTCCCCTTGGTTTACAGATGACCATCCTCTCACTGTGTCCTCACATGGCCTTTATTCATGGGCAGAGAGACAGAGAGAGAGATCTCTGATGTCTGTTCCCCTGCTTATAAGGACATTAGTCTTATCGAATTAGGGCCTACCTTTATTACTTCATTTAACTTTAATTGCCTTTTTAAAGGCTCTATCTCCAAATACAGTCACATTGAGGGTTAGGGCTGCAACATATGAATTTTGGGGTGACACAGTTCAGTCCATAACAATTCTTTTTTATTGCTGAATAATAGTCCATTATATGGGTGTACCACAGTTTATTTATAGGTTCATCAGTTGGTGGACATTTGAGGTGTTTCTTCTTTATGATGTATCTTCTTATGGTGTATCTTCTTAATGATGCCACTGTATTCAAGTTTCTGTGTAGATATTTGTCCTGTTTCTTTTGGGTATATATCCTGGAGTGGGATTGCTGGGTTATATGATAACTGTGTATTTAATCTGTTTTCCAAAGTGGCCATGCCATTGTATGTCTACTATCAATGTGTGAGGGTTCAAATTTCTCTACTACCTCTCCAACACTTTTTATCTCTGCTTTCTTATTATAACAATCATAGTGGGTATGTAGTGGGTACCTCATTGTGGTTTTTTGATTTGTACTTTCCTATTAACTAATGATGTCGAACTTCTTTTCATGTGCTTATTGGCCGTTTGTGTATCAAATGTCTAAATGTCCTTTGCACATTTTTACATTGGGTTGTTTTTTTTTTCTTGAATTATAAGAGTTCTTTATACATTTTTAGTACAAGTCCCTTATCACATAATATGATTTGCAAATATTTTCTCCATTCTGTGGGTTGTCTTTTCACTTTCTTGATTGTGTCCTTTGAAATAAAAAAGTTTTAAATTTTGATAATGCTCAATTTATCTATTTTTTTGTTGTTTATAATTTTTATGCTTTTGCTGTCATATCTAAGAAGGCTTTGCCTACCTCAAGTTTATGAAGACTGATGACTGCATTTTCTTTTAAGAGTTTTATAGTTTTATCTCTTAAATTTAGGTCCATTGTCCATTTTGAGTTAAGTTTTGTATATGGTGTGAGATAGGGGTCCAGCTACACTTCTTTGCATGTGGTTATTCACTTGTTCTAGCACTGGAGCATCTCTTTAAATGTTAATAATCAGTGTTGCTGAGACATTGCAATCATCCTTAATGGATAGATAATTTATCCCCACCTCTTCTTGGCAGTTTATTCCATCTCAGTAATCTAGGCATGTCTGTCCCATTTTCGTCACTCTTCACACTCAGAGACTTTTCCATCTACATCCAGGCTCACGGCTGTTCTGTAAGTGTTTAAGTTGCAAGTTAAGCCAAAGGGCTGTGATTCTAGGGTAATTAGTCCTGGTTTGCTCAATGTTGAGGGGTTTCCCAAGATGTGGACTTTTAGAGCTAAAACTGGAACAGTCCTTAGGTAGAGCTGAGGCATCACTGTCCTGTTGGAAAGAATGCTCCATTGAATTGAACCTTGTCCTTAAATCTAGAGAGTCAGATTTCAGCTGAGCTGCGGCCGTCTGAAAGCTGGACACTGGAGGACTCATTTCCCAGGCGGCTCAGTCACATGAATGACAAGTTGGTGCTGGCTGTTGGCAAGAGGCCTTAGTTCCTTCCATGTGGGTCTCTACACAGGGGCGCTTGAGTGTTCTTGTGTCATGGTGGTCAGCTTTTCCCAGAATGTGCAATCCGAGAGACCAAGGAGGAAGCTACAATGTCTTTTATGACATGGCCTCAGAAGCCTCATACCAAGTCCGCCCTGGCTCACGGAGGGCTATACTACTACACAGAATGTGTATACTAGGAGGAGAAGATAGTCGCGGGGTGGGTAGGGAGCATCTTGGAGGCTAGCTCCCAGTCTTCTCTCTGACTTCCAGTGATTTACGCCCCTCCCACTTGCACAAAACACAGCCCTTTTACAGCTCCCTAAAGTCTCATTCTTTACAGCATCAGCTCAGGACCCAGAATGTTGTCATTCGAATCAGGTCCACATGTGGATAAAGCCACTTAGATATTGTTGAGTACAGCTCCTTGAGTATAGTTCCTCTGTAATCAAAAACCTGCACAGAGAGTTGGGGCAAAGCGCACTCCCTCGAGTAGCCTAAACACACACACACACACACACACACACACACACACACACACCCCACACACACTATGTGCCTTTATTAAAAGGAAGGTCTGGACTAGGGGAAAGAGAAAGCTAGAAAATAATTTAGAGACCCACTTCCTGTATACTTGGAATCCTGTGCTATCCATCCTCCTCCTCTTTCTATATTCCTACATGTTCCACTGCTACCTTTCTACTGATGAAATGAATAATAATTGAATATAAGTAAGGGAAGAATAAGATAAATTTCTGTTTGAACATAGCCAATGTCTTGATTGTCTTATGTAGTGATTTAATACATTTAGTTTTCATTCCTTAATCAATATTAAATTACATGAATGCTTACCATATGCCAAGGTGCTCTATAAAGAATTCTGACTTTTCCCTTTCCTTTTCTCATGAATATGGGTTTATTTTCCAGAAAAAGTATTTTGTTTGTATTCTTCTCACTTGATTTTGTATAATCTAAAGTCAATTATTAATTAGGTTAGAAAGGAGATAGCCCATTTTGATGCCATTTTCAGCTCTCTTAGTGTATACTCATTGTTGAAATTACATCTGATTTTTAGCAATTCTTTTACTCTTCTACAGACATCATCTGAAATCAATTTGGTGTGACCTTATTGTAAATGTGATATCGGATACTTAGGGATATTTTCACTGTTCTGGGGATATCATCCAAAATATATAAAATGATATGAGAACAACAGTGTGAAGGCATTAAGCATGACATTGACTGCTGATACAAATGGACTATTACTGCTTGTTAGACAGTGCATTGTTTCTTCTTTTTCATAGTTGAACCCTTTTTCTCCAAGCATTAGGACAGGCCTGAGTTGGGAATATTTGCAGCCCCAGTTCCCTCTTCCCTTTTCCTTCTGCACTTACCTGATTCCTCCCATCCTAGTCCTGATGCGGGAGTCAGGAAACCACAGCTGTGCAGATTCTGCCTTCACCTGGACACACAACTGACCAGGGCTTTACTTTCAGGGGAAGCAGCTGGCAGAGGAAGAGGCACTTTTCTGTGGGCCACCATAGACCCAGCATGGCATCTAAGGGATCTCTGTTTCCACACCTAGATGCTTTCTTCTATGTTGTTTCTTCATTGATTTATAGACACTGATTTTTTTTAAATAAATGGGCTATCATTTAAATTATGTTTAATCTGAAACCTGGTTCATATTTCACTAGATAATAAAGAGTTGTCTGCAGTATAAGCACACCACTGAGTGGTCTATGTACGTGCACTCCAGGTAAATATGGCAGCAAGTGAAAGTTGTTAAATGGCTTGACGAGGATAGTTATACAGAATATTGGGAAGCTCGGGCCTTTTAAATTTCATCTCGAAGAGCATTTGTGTGTTGATAAGATTCTGATGCTCTCTGATAGCAAGAGCCTTCTCACGCTATTGTCATAATTATCACACTTGCGATTGACGGAGCCTGCCACAGACTAGGAACACAGTGATACTGAGATACTGGATTTATAACTTGGTACTTTATTATTTCAGAGCAAGCTGGCTTTGCACATATCTGGGAAGTAATTTTGAAGTTTGGACATAACATAAAAACAGATAATGGAAAAAGGAGAAAAGAAATCTAACGTCAAGTTCTGTGGCACAAGCAGTAATACACTACATTTGCAAGGCCAGTTGCTCACCTCCATGCTGTACAGGAAAGGAGGTTGTGGCTCTAGGTGTTAGCGCAGGGTTTGGGCTACACAGCTAGTAGTTGGGAGAGCTCAGATTTCAACCTGGTTAGCCCCACGGTTTATACTCTTCCCTCCTCCTCCCTGCAACCAACAGAAGGTCAGTGAGATGATTTTTGTACAGATTTTTGTGAGACTTACTACATACTGGTTAAGATTACTAGTTAATATTTACCACAGGGTTCTTTGCCCATTGTATGTCAAAATTTAAGGTATATCTCAATTTCACAAATCTAGGGTAACTTCCAACAATAAATTGTTCTCTGCTTCACTGTCCTAAGCATTTTATACCTTTCTTCAAGGTCTTAAAAAGGGTTCTTTATCTGTCCTTGGCATTCTCTGTCTTGTCGTGAACTGAGAATAATTTTCTTTTCTCTCTCTCTCTCTCTCTCTTTTTGTTTTGGGTTCATGTTAGCAGATTTAAAGAAAGCCTCCAGTTCAAATGTTGTAAAATCCAGTCTCCCAAAATCTGGGCTTCGTCCTCCTGGGTACTCCCGTCTCCCGGCAGCCAAGCTGGCGGCGTTTGGCTTCGTCCGGAGCTCCAGTGTCTCCTCCGTGTCCAGCACCCAGTCCGTGGACAGCGCCCCGCCGGAGCAGGGCCGGCTGGCCTCACGTAAGTGGGCGGGGCAGGCGGGCGGGCACCTGCGGGGCAGGTAATCAGCAGGCCCCTGTGACTGTGTGTCGTTTTCTTTGCGTGATTAATTAAGAATTTGGATCGACTCCCTTGGTCTACCGTTGTTGTTTTTAAATCATCTACTGAGGAAAAATAGCCTATTTGGCATTATCCTTTATGGGGAGGTAATACGCTAGAAAAAAGATTTTAAAGCTCCTCTTACAATCTAGAAAATGACTTATCCAGGGACTGATTCCAGGAGGCCTCTGCTTCATAGATTCTAGGTAAGAAATCAAAGAAAGATCCTAGAAAGGTGTTGCTATATATGATGCTATCATGAAATATATTAGATATTAAATACTAGCTGAAAGAATCATTTAGTCACCTATGATTGCCTTCACATTGGTGGAGCATTCGACTGGCTTTCTAAAAGTTAACTAAATGATGTTAAAAATAGGAAAGCACTACCGAGCTACTTCAAATCTATGCCCAGGAAGGTCCCCATTAGCTGAGATGCTGCTGCTCCTGTTTCCTGAGACTGATGTTGTAGACTGTATTTGAAAGTATGAATTAATAGCCTTCAGAGCAGGTTACCACAGCCACTGTCCTTAAAGGAGATCTGGAGGCCCCCCAGTCAGCTGAGCCTTTGATGAACAGGCCCCGTCTCAGCCTTAAATTCAAAGTCATTGTTATTGGATCTGAAGCCATGACATCTCAGATGTTGGTTTTCAAGACCTTGCCAGAGGGCCAGGAGAGTCTTAGAGGTTTCCATGTAGAGAGCTGTTTCGAAGGGATTATAGAAGTTGAATCAAGTTGGAATAATGTGAGAGAGAGAGATTGATTTATCATTTTTTCAATTTCCTTTCTCCAAGCTTGTTCACTCTGTCTTTCTTGGGTTTACAGAGATGATGTGTGGAATATTTGTACGTTTACAGTTATAAATTTTGGTGTACGTAGTTATTCCTAAAAGTAGCACATGGCATTTTCCTTCATCTTGATGTGTTTGTAAGTAGGTTCTAAGTGTGTTTTCTTTGCTCTCTTGGTTTCCTGAAGGTGCTATGGCTCAGACCTGCTTTCACATAGGATTTGTTTTAGGAATATCACTGTAATTATGCATTACATCATTACACAGTAGGTGTCTCAAAGTCTGAAACATGAATATAATAAAGAACTATTTGCAAATGTGTAATCCACGTTTTTAGATATGTATAGGCATAGTAACCATCTGACGATTCTGTAATACAGGAGCAACTACTGGTCATCATTTTTAGTAATAAAATTCCCAATGACATGTTTCTCTTTTAGAGAAAGAATGGAAGGAAGAAATCTCCTATGGTATGTACCTTTCCATAAAAGAATTTAAGATTTTGATGTCTTAAAAAAAAAAAAATTAACCTCGAGGCAAGTTGAGCCATGTCCCCGTGACAGTAGCTTTTGCTGAGGAGAGCTGACAGGTGTGGGCAGAATAATTCCAGGTGTGCTTAGGGAATTTCTTCTCACTTCTACTTCAAAGGATACTAGATAAGGACCCCTGAGCACCCAGGGGAATAAGAGCTGTATGTGCCAGAGAAAATAACTCCTAGTTTAAAGACTTCCTGTTAAAAGTGACTTTTACTCTATCAAGAAATATTTTCTATTTTTAAAAATGTATGTCAGAATTGATTTATAATTATCTGCTTCCCACTATATATACAATTTGTGCTTCACTAATAAACCATAGAAAAACCCCACATGTATTTGAACTGATGTCTGAGTACCACTGATTGTTATACCTATACTTGTTATCAGATTTAATGTTGAGAAACATTTTGTTTCTGTTCCTTAGTGAAGAGATGATGCTTTGATGACAGGGATTAAGTAAAATGTGAAGCTCTTGAGAGAGCTTAAAGTCCTTAGATCATATCCTAAGAGCAAAGCTCTGTTGACTCAGCTCATGGAAATAACATATGAGAATTAATTCTTTTTTTCTTTTTGGAAAGTTGGTCTTTTTGCTGACACTGCTTTCACATAGGATTAATTTTAGGAATACCACTGCAATTAGGGATTATATAATGGCACAGTAGATGCCTCAAAATCTGAAGCATGAATGTGATACGCAACTGTAGTCATGCGTCACTTGACTGTACATCTGAGAAATGCAGGATTGGGCCATTTCATCGTTGTGTGAACATCATAGAGTGAACTTACACAAACATAGACAGTGCAGCCTACTGCACACCTAGGTGGTGTGGTATAGCCTGTTGCTCCTAGGCTATACACCTGTATAGCACTGTACTGAATACTGTAGACAGTTGTAATACAATGGTATTTGTGTATCTAAACACATCTAAACATAGAAAAGGTGCAGTAAAAATATGGTTTAAAGATTTGAAAATGGTGTGCCTGTATAGGTCCCTTACCATGAATGGAGCTTGCAGGCCTGGAAGTTGCTCTGAGTGACTCAGTGAGTGAGTAGTGAGTGAATGTGAAGGCCTAGGACATTGCTGTACATTTTTATATGACTGGTAGTGCAGTAGGTTTGTTCACACCAGCAACACCACAAACACATGAGTAATGAATGCAGTGCGCTATAATGTTATGATGGCTACAACATCACTAGGCAATAGGAATTTTTCAGTTCTGTTATAGTCTTATGGGACCACTGTTGTATGTGCGTTCTGTTGTTGACCAAAGCGTCGTTATGTAGCACATGACTGTATTTTCAAATGTGTCATTCATATTTTTAGATGCTCATGCATATGAACAGTCTGAACAATGTCCATACTGACTGTGGCATGCTATATTTGGGACACTTTTAAGTGACTGCTGTTGACTTTATTAGTGTTTCCTAGGCTAGTCTGGCTCTGCTGTGAGTCTTCCTATGCCATTTCCTGGGTCCTGAGGTGCAGGTGATGATAGTATGGAGCAGGGAGCCCCGTGCAGTCCCCTGGACTTGAGGTGGCAGGACCATTTGGGTCTCAGCTGCTCCATGTGGCATCTTTCCTCCACCTTGGGCTCAGGCTCTGGGCCATTAGATCAAACACACTGGGCAGAACAGCAGTGGATATCTTGATTTGGAGAGATTATATATTCTCATTAAATTCTAGAGTTTCGTTTCTTGTTTTAATACTTAAATAGATGTTCTTTTAATTATTGAATAGGATTTGTGTTTGGGGGATAATACTCTGAAGTAGAAAATCGCCAGCCTTTTTGGAAGGTTAATCAATGAAAATGAGGGTTAATATGAAAGCTTTTTGCAACATTAACTTCAGTATTTATGCTCGTGAATACTACAAAGTACATTTACATATATAACACATTTGATTTTCTGTATCTGACATGCATTTTAAATAAGATCACAGTTGATAACAAGTGTTATTAATAACTCCTACGGAAACAGCCATTAACCTATCTCATGTTCCGTTGGCAAAGAGGGAGTAATTTTTTATTCATGGCAAAAGGAGCTGAAGGTGGCTCGTGAGGTCAGGTTTCAGAGAAGCCATTGCCTATTTGAGATTGAGCCTAGTTGACGTATTTTTTTATTCCCTTTCAAGAACACTCAGACAATGATCAGGTCCACCCAGAGACAGGATTAGATTGTAAGTATATTTTGTTTTGTTTTAAGAAAGTTGACCATGTATGGTTATAAGATAAACTGAAAGTTTGGGGAACATATTTTTATTCCTAGTAAAAATAATGCCTAGTTGAATCGCCTCATTTTTCTTGGCTGTCTTGTTTTATGAAGATTAGATTGTCCACTTTCCCTTCCCAGATCCTACATTCTTTCAGCATCTACTACATGGTAAGCACAAGCTTGGTGCTGGGGCTACTATGACCTGGAGGCCAAGGTCCCCACCCTGCAGGGAGTGGGGAAATAGGATTATGCACATAAATCCATGCAGCGAGATGTTAGTGTGGCTGTGCTTGAAGACCACACGGTGTTTGGCAGGCAGGTGGGGGAGGAGGCACAGGAAGGAGGGAAAGTGGATTCCCCTGAGTGGGGGTGAGGAAGACCCCACTCCCCAAAGGTCCTCTCCAGGCTGGCTCAGTGTCACTGTGTTTTGTCTTCAGATTCAGTCATTCCATGCTGGTTATAGGTAATGACAACCTTTTGGATTTGCTATAAAATAATCCAGCAAAGAAGAAAAAAAAAAAATAGAGGTGAGGGAAGATAGATGAAAAAAGTTTGGCAAATTTTTGCAAATCCTTGAAGCTGGATGATGAAACCATGAGGGTTCATGATACTGCTTACTTCACTTTTTGTGTATGTTTGAAAGTCTCTACAGAAGGTTAAAAATCCCAACTTCTCTCTGTATTAGATTTTCTTTTTTCTTTTATTGATTTTATTTTTACATTTAATAGTCCCTAGAAAGCTCTTGGGCAGTTTTTTTTTTCCTTCCAAACTTTTTGTGGTGAAATGTTGTATGTATTTACCATGTGATGTTTTGATATATGTATACGTTGTGAACTGATTACCACAGTAAAGCTAATTAATATATCTGTCACCTCACAGAGTTACATTTTGGTGTGTGTATGTCTGGTGAGAACATTTAAGATCTACTTTCTTAGCAAATTTCAAGTACACGATGCAGCATTATTAGCTATCAACCCCATGCTGTACACCAGAATCTCCAAGACTTACTCATCCCACATAACTGAAACTCTGAACACCTTGACGGATACCTCTCATTCTTAGGTGATCCAGTAGCGTAGTGGTGAAGGAGGCAGACTCTGGAGATAGACTGCCTGGGTTGATATCCCACTCTGCCATTCCCTTGCTCTGTGACTTTGGGCGAGTTACTTTCCTGTGCCTTTGCTTCCTCATTGTAAAATAATAACAATACTGTTAACAATAATTAAAATCAGTTTTAAAAACCATCCATAGGGTTGATAGGAGCATTAAATGGAATTGAGGCATGCAAAGTGCTTAGAACAGGACATTGCATGATAATAATCATGTTTCGGCGATCATTTCCAGCTGTTGGCCATGTGCACAAAGTTCAGTGTTGAGAATGATTCAA